TGAGGCTGAGTGTGTGAGTGGAGAAGTGTGTGTGGGAGGGCACCTGTTTGTTTTTGTGTTTTTTTTTTTTTACAATAAATTTTAAAGAGAGAGGAAAGAAGAGGGAGAGAGAGATAGAAACATCCATGATGAGAGAGAATCATTGATCAGCTGCCTTCTGCATGCCCCATTGGGGATCAAGCCCACAACCTGGGCATGTGCCCTGATTGGGAATCGAACCAGGTCCTCCTGGTTCATAGGTCTATGCTCAACCACCGAGCCACGCCAGCCAGGCAGAGGGCCTCTGTTTGCTGGAGTGGGAGCTTAGGCGGTGACTGGGGCAGTCCAGGCAGAGGAACTGCCACTGCAGGCCGACGCTCTATCCACTGAGCCAAAACGGCTAGGGCATGATTTGAATGCATATTATATACTTGTGATCTCACTGATATGATTGCCTAAAAAGAGCCTAAGTTTAAACACATGAATCAAAATAAAGAAAAATACGTGGTATGTAATATAGCTCACAGATTCGGCCGAAAGTGTGAAGGACGAAAGTGCAAACGCTGAGGTTTGGGTTCCGTTTTGGGCTCCCTGTGGCTCCAGGTAGAAGTGGAGCGACGCTAGAATGAGTGCTAGGATGGCAACGGTTATGCCTGTGAGTCTGCGTGGTGCCTCACAAATGTGTGCGGAGGTGGTGTTGACCGAGAACCTCAGTGGCCCGGGTTCCGAGGGCCCACAAGCCCTCACCAGGCCCCGCTTCTCCCCAGTGAAACCCAGGGCTCCCGGAAACCTCACGGTTAACGCCACCGACTCCCACACGTGGCAGCTGGCCTGGAGCGACCCGTACCCTCCCAATGGTAGTCTGCACGCCAAGCTCTTCTACCTGGTCAACATTTCAAATGAAGACGACCCCACGGAGGTGAGTGGGCACTGTGGGGGGTCTGCACCAGCTCCTGGGACTCGGGGAGCGGAGACCCCGCCCCAGGGTGGGAGACAGAGAGGAGCCCGGCTGACAGCAGCCCCGGGACCTGGAGTCCCGGCTTCTGTCCCTCCACCCCTTCCTGGTGCCCAGCGCGCAAAGAAGGGAAGTGATTTGTGGGCCCTGCTCCTCCCTGTAAAGGAGGCTCTGGGCACAGCTGGGTGTCCCAGGGGCCGGGAGAGACACTGAGATTTCAGGAACACTCTCAGATGACCGAGTCCTCACTCAGCATCGGCTCCCTCCCGACCCTGACTAGTCAAGGCAGGCGTCTCAGCGGAGCTGACCGGCTTAGTAACCCCCCCGCCACAGGAGGAGGCGCAGACACAGAGCCTCCCCCAGGACACAGTCCAGCCATAATTTTGGGCTGTCGCTGGGTCTCACTGCGGTGATGTTCATGTGACATTCGTGGTGTCTGATACTTGCCTTCCGGGCCCAGCAGAGCCTGGTTCCTTTCTAGATGAGCCATGGACGCTTGCACAGGCAGTGCGGGTCTATCAAGTAGATACTAGCGGCCCGGACGCACGGACACAAGGACGCGGGTGGGGGGGGGCCGCTATTTTAGTTGCAGGTGGGGGTCACCCTGGGCCCGGCGTCCCCCAGAACTGGGTTCCAATACCTGCCCTGCCGCTTGCCGCTGCCTGATCTCGAGCTTGCACTTACCCTCCTTGCGCCTCGTCTCCTCATCGGTGACATGGGGGTAAGAGGACCACCATAGGGCTATTGAGAGCATGGGGTGGGTGACACAGCTAAGCTCCCATGCCCAGCACAAAGGATGTTATAAACATCCTCCTCCTTTTCTCCCGACTGCCACGGCCTTGGAAACCCCGTCGTTCCCTTCCCCCCCTTCCACCCCCACCGCATGCCCAGCCTGTAACCCCTCTGCCAGAGTGTCGAGGCCCACGCTGAGCCGTGCCCCGTGTCCTGGGCCCAGGCTGGCCTCCCTCAGCGGCCAGGTGGGGGCCCAGATGTATGAAGCTCCCATGTCGGCTTCTGCTGCTGCTGCTCGTCTTCCTGGCACGTGGGAGCTGGTGATGCCGATTTCCATCTCTCAGGCGTGGTTCCTTCTTGGCCGTGGGCCAGGATGTGGGGTAGGAGCAGGAATGGGGCGCACACACTGCTCGGAGCAGGTGGGGAGAGGCGGCCGGCTTTGTCCATCAGTCCTCCCAGGTGCTGTGCCTGTTCAGGGTACAGTCTGGGGCGGGGAGGGGAGATAAGGGTCCAAAGACATTTACCCATTTGCTTATCACGGCTGGACCCAGGCCCCAGGAATCTCTCCGTCGCTCGGCCCCGCTTTCTTCCGCGTTGGCTCCCTTTTCAGGCAGGCTCTTCCCTCATGCGGCCAACGTGCCCAGGAGCAGCTCCAGGCGTAGGTCCCAAAGCTCTTCTGTCCAGGTGATTCTCAGTAAATGTCCTGGGACCAGTTCGATGCTCACTTGTCTGGCTTGGGCCATTGGCCAATCTCTGACCCATCACAGGCTGTGGGCTGGAGAGAGGGTGCTGGGCTGTGCTCTGACCAGCCCGGAGGAGTCACATGCCCACCGATGGGCTGGGAATGAGGCGGAGGGGAGGGGGGGTGGCTCCCCAAAGCAGACTGGGGACGGGAAACAGGGCCTGGCCGGGCTCTGGCGGTGGACAGAGTTGGTCATTGTCCTGGGCTGGGGCTCATGGGCACGTGGGGGCTCAGGGCTGCCCCAGGCCTCAGCAGTCAGGTCCGGCTTCTTGTTGGTGGGACAGAGGCTGCTGGGACACCCTCCCCACGTGTCACCTGGAGGCAGAGCTGGGCTTCGAGGCCAGGACTTGAACTCCAGAGCCCGAGCTCTGCCCCTCCCCAGGATCGTCCTCTCAGACGCGGTCTCCCCGACAGCGGCCTGTTTGTTAAACACCAGCTGCCACAGGCAGGCCATCCCTCGCAGGCTCCGGCTCTCGTTTCTCAGGACCCATTTCCCAGTCCCTGCTCTCCAGGGTGTCCGATTCCTGTGGTGAACCAGACCCAGCTGCTGCTTCCAGCTCAAACTTCTCCTGTTTAGAAAGAAAGGAGGACATTGTCGTCCTGTCCCAGCCCCCCTTGCTCCCCGGGAAAGCTCCGCTTCCCCCCAGTTTCTCCAGAACCTGCTGAGGTGGTGCCCCCTCGGTGTGCAGCCCCCCTCAGCTCACTTCACACAAGACATTTCCCCCGACTCGCTCCCGCCTCCAGGCCCAGCAGGAAGGGGCTGCAGCGGCCAGAGGAGGAGGGAGAGCCGCGAAGGGAGGGACCCGCAGGGAGAGGAGCCCCAGGCACAGGGTTCAGGCCACCCACTTGCCGGCAGAATTTGTCTTGAACGCAGATTTTATTTCATCTTATTTTTTAAAGTTTTTTGAAAAAGTACTATTTACATGAAGTATAAAATGCAAATGGTAGAAAAGGACTTAGGATGGAATGAGTTTCTCTTCCAACCTCAACCTCCAGTTCCTCTTCCCAAAGGTTGGCCCCGGCTCTGCCTCGGGTGAGGAGCGGGGAGGGAGGCCGCTGGAGCCGGCAGAGGCCTGAGGTGTGTCCTTGCAGAGTTTACGTCTGTGCAGGTGTGATGTTCACTTAACTCCACGTCCGCCTTCCATGCTGCACATGACGTCACCACACTCAGCTGCTTTAAACAGCACGCATCTGCTGCCCCATCGTTTCTGGGGGCCAGGAGTCTGGGCACGGCCTCGCTGGGTCCCCGGCAGCAACCACGGCGTGGCCAGGGCTGTGGTCTCGCCTGAGGCTCCCAGGGAGGTGGCTCCCAGGCTCCTGTGATGTTGGCAGCATCCGTGGGCCGTGGGTTGTTGGGCTGAGAGTCTCAGGTCCTTGCTGGCCCTTGGCAGGAGGCCACCCTCCGTTCTTCCCTCATGGCCTTCTCCCAGCCAGCCAGGGGGAGGGAGGGCGTTCGGGGAGTCGGAATGACGGTCTCACATGATGTAATCACACGCATGCGGTCCCACACACCCATCACCTTTGTACGTCCTGTGGGTGAGAAACAAGTCACAGCCCTGCCCACACTCAAGAGGAGGGACCGCACAAGGGCAAGATGCAAGGCGGGATCCTGAGGCCCTCAGAATCTCAGCCCCTGGGTGGGCAGGGCTGAGATTCGGGGCCATGTGACTGGGCTGGGTGGGCAGGGCTGAGATTTGGGGCCATGTGACTGGGCTGGTAGGCGGGGCTGAGATTGGGGCCATGTGACTGGGCTGGACCACGAGGCTCTAGAGAGCCCATGAGGGAGCGAGGGGCTCCCTGACTCTGTCTGTGCTTCGGAAAGATCATCACGCTCCCTGCGTGCCAGGCCCTGTCCTAAGCGCGTCCCTGCGTCAACCCATTTACTCCTCACAGCCACCCTGGGAGGCAGGCACTTTTATTATCCTCATTGCAGAAGAGGACATCGAGGACCAGAGAGGTTCTGTCACTAACCTAAGGTCACACAGCCCGAAAGTGACAGTAGGGACCCTTGCCCTCAACTTACAGATGAGGAAACTAACACTCAGAAAGGTTCATCAACTCGCCCCCGTCATGTCAGAGGGCTGGTCAGTGGGGGTAGGTGGGGCCGGTTTCCTGACCCCTCTCCCTCGAGTCCGGTCACAGCGATAGAGGTGCCAAACAATGCCTGAGCTGGAGGAGTGACCAAACACCAGGCTGCTGGCTCGTACTCACTGTGGGGTCAGCCACGGACGGCAGCCCGAGTGCGAGTGGTACCGCCACCCCCAGCCGTGCAGTAATGTCTTCCTTCCCCCCCAGTTCGTAGTCAGTAATGTGACCTACAGGGAGCACACCCTCCGCGTCCCAGCCAGCACCCTGAAGCCCGGGGCCCTCTACAGCGCGCGGGTGCGGGCCTGGGCTCCGAGCTACAACAGCCTGTGGAGCGAGTGGAGCCCCCGCGCCCAGTGGCTTAACGGTGAGTGTCCGTGGTGAGTGCCGAGCAGTTAGAATCCCCCCCCACCTCACGCTGTGCCCAGACACTGGCCCTGGCCGAGCATCTGGGCTTCCGTCCGAGGACGCCGCCACGGCAGGTAACAGAGGAACGACGGGCATGGCGCACTGGCCCGGGCGGGCAGGCGAGGCTGCAGTAACAGGTGCCCACGCGGTCCGAGCTTTCACACGTGGAAATGTGCTTCTTGCTGTGTAACAGTCCAACTGTGCTGGTCTGTGGGCGGTCTTCCTCCCGTGGCTCCATCTCTCAGGACAGAGATGATTGGCCTTTTGTGTCATGGACCCTTTGGCAGTCAGGGAGGCCTGAGGACCCATTCAGAATAATGTTCTTAAAGTTATAAAATAAAGCACAGAGGGTTACAGGGGAAACTAGTTTTATTGAAATGCAATTATAAAAATGTTTTAAATATACTTGTGATCTGGGAATATATGCTCTTCTATTAACACATTAGAAACAGGAGCGAGGGCAGTTCTATAAATGCTGTCATTGGAAAGCAGATGAGATAAGTGACATTTTGTGATCTGGCAGCCGCAATGTGGTAGGAGAACAGCTGTGATTTCTGTTGGCAGCTGAGTGACTGATGATGCTCTCACCGTGGTTTACTCCCTCCATTCCTAATGGGAAGAAATGCGAGGAGTTAGAAGTGAGTGAAAATAAAGATGTCATTTCTTTCCCATCCAAGTCCCTGACCTCTAACTTCTGTCTGCGACCTTGTTGGAGGTCTGTGGATCTCTAAGGGCCCTGCCATTGTCTGCATCCAACCAAAGGGGAAGGAGAGCAGGGAGACCACACCCGCTTCTTCTTTTTTTTTTTTTTTTTAAATTTCTTTATTGATTTCAGAGAGGAAGGGAGAGGGAGAGAGAGATAGAAACACCAATGATGAGAGAGAATCATTGATCGGCTGCCTCCTGCACACTCCCCACTGGGGATGGAGCCCGCAACCCAGGCATGTGCCCTTGGCCGGAATTGAACCCTTCAGTCCACAGGCTGACGCTCTATCCACTGAGCCAACCCGGCTAGGGCCACACCTGCTTCTTAAAAACCTTAGCCTGGCCTGGCTGGTTGAACATTGTACCGTGCACCGGGAGGTCACTGGTTCGATTCCTGGCCTGGGCACGAGCCCGGGTTGCGGGCTCAATCCCCACTGGCGGGGGGCATGCAGGAGGTGGCCAATTGATCAATGTTTCTCTCTCATCAATGTTTCTGTCTCTCTTTTTCTCTCCCTTCCTCTCCTTCTAAAATCAATATAAAAAAAATATATATATTTAAAAAAAGCCTTAGCCTGAAGTGACACATCACTCCTTTTCACGTTTTATTGGTGAAACTGGCCACATGACCACACATAGCTGCAAGGGATTCTGGGAAATGTAGCCCTCGCTTGTAGCTGCATCCCCAAAACAACTCTTTGCAACTTTATCACATGGCTTTTGCAATAGAAGTGTTGAATTTTCTCACATAAAATGAATTATCTTACATGTGGACCTTCCCAGGTTCATACAGCAGCTCAGGGAACAGAACAGACAGAAATCCTGTCCTTCTGGAACTGACACTCGGGGGAGGGGGGACAGAAAATAAACATACAGAAAAGAGGAAATCAGATCGATCTAGACCCAGAGGGCAGTCGGTCTCTGGGAAAGGGGACGGAGTGATGAGAGGGGCAACGGTAGAGAGGGCTTGGGGGGCGGGGGTTTGGAGCTGGCGAGGGTGAAGGGGACGAGGAGAAGGAGCCGCTGTGCGAAGGTGATAACAGCTGGGGGCCTGCAGGCACTGCTCTGAGTGCGGTGGGTAGTGAGTCGGTGACCCTCACAGCTCCCCGTGAGATGAGCACTGTTGTTAACCCCATTGTACCGGTGAGGAAACCGAGCCACCGAGAGTGTGAGGGACGTGTCCTGGCCACCAGTGAGGACACGACAGAGCCAGGCTTTGAACTCAGGTCTTCCAGGGCCAGAGTCACTACCCTTGACCTCTGTGCTTCAGGAAGAGCAGCAAGTGCAAGATCCTGAGCTGGCACTGAGCGTGGAGCAGCAGGGGGCAGCCAGGGGGCCAGTGTGGCGAGGGCTCAGGGTGCAAGGGGAGGGCAGCAGGGGCTGAGGCGGGAGGGCTGGGGGGTGGCCCAGTCATGCGGGGTCTGGGACACACTGTCCTGCAGCTCCGGTCTCCAGCCCTGGGAAATGGAGACCAGGCTGTACTTAGCGCAATGCGGGCTCACGGCTTCCCTTCCACCTCCAGACTACGAGTGGCCCTGGGAGCAGCACCTCCCACTTGCCGTCGGCATCTCCTGCATCATCATCATGGTCGTCTGCCTGTCCTGCTACTTCAGCATCCTCAAGTGAGTCCTGGGCCGGCCCCCTGGGTGGGAGTGGGCAGGAGTCCCTCCGCTCATCTGTCAGCTTCAGTCCTCCTTGAACCATAAATGTTTATGGAGCAGCTACTGCGTGCGAGGCACTGAGGCAACAGCTGAAACAAAACCCGCAGAACTCTGTGCTCCTTGTGGGAGACACTGTCAGGTCTGCAAACAGCCACGGCGCTTTCCACAGCAGCCCAGGCGCCGAGGGAACAAACCGGGCGCAGGGCACAGGTGTCCCGGGCGCTGTGTCCGGTGGGAGGAGGGATATTTGAGCTGAGGCCTGACTGGGGGAAGGAGCTGGCCAGGGTGGGGCTGGGAAGGGCCTTCCCTTGGGAAAGGGAGGCGGATCCTGCCCGGGGTATGGTCCAGGCAGTTGGGGGCAGGTGACCATAGACTGAGGAATTCTAGCCGATTGCCCTGACAGGGTCGGGAGATCTGGGCTCGGGTTCTGGCCCTGGCGCTGGTAGCTGTGTGACTGGCTCCTCCCTTGTAGGCTGAGAGAGGGAAAACGTATTTCGTCAGTCCTAAGAGTCTAAGAGAGTCTTGGACCACAGTGCGCTGTTAGGTAGAAGGAGCTTAGTTTCCAGTGAGTGTGAGCCCTAGGAAACATGGTGTCTCAGAGCCTCAGTCCTCCCATCTCTGAAATGGGACTAATGAGTCTTACCTCACTATGTGAGGATCAGTGATGGCCGAGGATTGACGGAGCGAGTGTCCCGCCCTCTGCTGGGCACACAGCAGGTGTGCAGGGGCTGCAAGCTTTCCTCTCCGTGTCTTGTCACCGACACCTCCTAGTCACTGTGGGCTGGTCTTTCCCCTTCTCTGGGCCTCACTTTCCCCATCGCCTGTCCTCCCAGCCCCACTCACTGTGTCCAGCACTCCAGCCTTCTTGCTGTTCTTTGAACGCACCAGGCAAGTTCCCTCCAAACCTTTGCACTACCTGGAAAGCCCTTTCCCCTGGCATCGCCATGACTCGCCCCTCTTCCACCTTCAGTCACCACTCAGAGGCCACCTCCTCAGGGAGGCCTTCCTGGATCACTCCCTCCATTCCTCTCTATTCCTTTATCTTCTTTATTTTCTCTCATGGTACTTGCTGCCATAATTAATGTCCTATAGTTATTTCTGTCTGTCTCCTATTCTAGAAGATCAGCTACGTGAGGGCTGGGCTTTTGTCTGTCATGTTCACTGTTGTGTCCCCGAGGCCTGGCACAGTGAGTGGTACATAGTAGGTGCTCAGTACGGCATGTTGACTGACTGAGTGGAGTCAGTGGAGGCTGATCCAGGGGCAATCTGAGGGCCTTCCCTCAGAGCTGACACTCCATGGCTCCAGGCCGACCAGGGGAGGGAAGGAACCTATTTCTCCCAGGGTCTCCTCGGCTTCTCAGGCCTCCCTGGCCTCCCGTGGCCTGACTCTGAGCTGCTCCCTGGGGGACTGCTGATGGGCACACCCCGAATTCTCTGCAGCTTGAGTCTTTCCTTCTTCCCTGGGCTTGTTCCCACTGAGGACAGAGGCAGCTAGTCGGGAGCAGAACGCTGGGGCACGAACCGGCTCTTCTGCTGCCAGCTGTCCCTTCAGCCCTGTGAGCCTCAGTGTGCTCATCTGTGAATGGGGTTGGCAGTAGGACCTGTTCCATGGGCTTAGGGTGAGACATCCCAAACCAATCAACCTGGTCCTGACCCCTAGGAAGTACTGGCCATGTGATCATTTTTATGGGAGGAGAGACCAATGTGTTTTCCTCTCCTTTTTCAGGATTAAGAAGGAATGGTGGGACCACATCCCCAGCCCAGCCCACAGCTCCCTCATGGCTGTTGTCATCCAGGAGCCTCAGGTAGGAGAGGGCTGGTCCGGACGCTGTGGATGCTCCTATCGGGAGCTGGGATTCAGGTGTCTGGGATGTTAGATACGCACTGGCTTTTGGATTTGCACCTGAGCCGTCAGGAAGGTCTCAGCGCTGGTCGGTTCTGCAGCCCAGTGTGGTCATCGGGGGCCCAGAGGCTGCCCCCTCCCCTCGGCTTTCAGAGCCACCTTTTCAGCCTTGGGTGGGTTCCCTCCCTTGGGAGGAGATGGCCCCTGAGGTCACCTGCATGTCACCCCCTGGGGAGGTACCTGTACCAGGGCAGGAGGCCAAGAGGCCAGGGCGAGGGGGACACGGCTCCTGTGTGTTCCTCTTACGAGCAGGAAACTGCGCCAAAGCGCCAGCAAATCTCCTCCTTTCTCATTGGCCTGAGTTGCATCACATGCTCTTTCCTAAGCCTTCACCTGCAAGGAGTGGGGATACCGTGGGCCAGCCGGGTGGCCAGCCTGAGCGATGGCCACGTGTGGTTTCTCTGAGCTCATCGGGGTTCTCTAGGAAGGAGGCAGGGGGTGCAGGGCCTTCAGGTCTCCAGCGACCCTCAGGCAGGCTCTGGAGTCGGTGGTGCTGACTTTGAACCGCGGCTCTGCCACTCACCCGCCGAGTGGACTGGGTGTGAGCGAGTGGCTTAACCTCTCCGAGCCTCGGTTTTCTCGTGTGGGTTGTCGTCGTGTTTATATAACGGTTGGAATTCACAGAGACAGTACATGTAAAGTGTATCACAGGGCCCTGCACAGAGTTAGCGTCGTCCATGTATCAGTCAGCTTTTGCTGGGTAGCGAATTATCCCGAAACTTATCTGGGCCTGGCAGGGCAGCTCTCTGGGCTGGCTCGCCCCCAGCAGCTTCACGCACAGGTGCGGCAGTTGTCTGACTCTCGCCTGCGCAATGGAGTGACTCAGCCGGGCGTCTCATCCTCCCGCAGGCTGGGCCGTTGGCACAGTGTCACTGATACCACTTTCTGTTGACCAAAGCAAGTCCCAGGGCCAGGCCAGATCCAAGGGGTGGAGGAGCTGCAGGTGACAGTGGCCATTTTTGCCTTCAGCCACAGCAACTTAATCTTAGGGCGGCCTCACTCATTCCCAGGGACCGAGGCTCCGGGAGCGGCAGTGGCCCGGTCTGACCTCCGACCCCGGTGACGTCAGGGCCTACAGTCCTCCCACGGCGAACACGGAGCTCGCTGTGGCCAGGCTGGCGGGAGGCCTCTCCGCCCTGTTCATTGGCTGTCTCTCTGTTTCAGGTGCCACTGCCGGGGAAGAGGTCCGGGGGCCAGGAACCAGCCAAGTGCCCGTATGTAGATGAACTTCGGTCATGGCCTGTGTGGATTTGGAAGAGGGGGGATTGGCGTGGTGGGCCCCATCTTGAGAGTGGGGTCCCTCGCCCCCCCATGTCTGCCTTCTCTTCCTTGGCATTCAGCACTGTTCCTTCGAGGCGTAGCAGGAGGAGGAGTGGTCTGGAAAGGTGGCTGCTGGCTGGGCCCCTGAATTTCCCTGGGTGGGTCAGGCATGTGCTGAGCCCCTTGGGGTGCACTCTGGCCTGAGCAAGGCTGTAGAGCCAAGTACCTGTGCCCGTTGTTAAAGTGCTGACGTAACTGCGTACTGGTTGGCAAGCACCACTATCCCAAACCCTGAGGATGCCACCATCACATTAGCCTCCTAGCGCCCCCTCAGGGCCTCTGGCCTCCCACAGGGCAGTAGCTAAAGTTTAGACCTGGCACAGCTGGGAGCTGGGAGCCCTGGACCTGCAGCCATCCTAAGTGGGCATTCCTTATGCTGTGTGTTTTAAATTCTATCATCCCGACAAAGACTTTGATTTATTCAATAGTCTGAGCTTGTAGTGGGTCCCAGGTTATGTGCTGAGCTCCAGACATCCCAAAGGCAGACAGGAGCTCCCAGGGCAGGCGTGGGGGAGACTGAGAGGCAGTGATTGTAAAGCCAGGAGGCACGTCTGCAATAGGTAGGCATCAGTCCAGGGTGGCTTCCAGCTGGGTTTTGAGGGATGAATAGGAGTTTTTAAGTGGAGACACTGAGCCCTGACCACACTTTGCTCTTGCAGGTACTGGAAGACGTGTCTGACGAAGCTCCTGCCCTGCTTACTGGAGCCTGGCGTGGAGAGGGGTGACGGTTCCTCCCAGGCGGCCAGGAGCGGGCCTGTCCAGGGCCCTGGGAAACCAGCCTGGCGCCCCGTGGAGGTCAGCAGCGCGGTCCTCTGCCCGGAGAGCATCAGCGTGGTGAAGTGCGTGGAGCTGCTCGAGGCCCCGGTGCAGAGTGAGGAGGAGGAGCCGGTGGAGGAAGATGGAGGGAGCTTCTGCCCCTCGCCTGAGAGCAGCGGGGGCGGCTTCCAGGAGGGCAGGGCGGGCATCGCGGCCCGGCTGACGGAGAGCCTGCTCCTGGACCTCCTTGGGGGCGCGGAGGGGGGCTTTTGCCCGCCAGGCTCGGGGGAGCCCTGCCTTCTTCCTCCGTCAGCAGGTGTGAGTGCTCAGATGCCTTGGGCTGAGTTACCAGGTGAGGCGCCTCAGGAGGCCTCACTGCGGGGCAGTGGGCAGCCTTTTGACCCAGAGCTGCTCCCAGCCACTCGGACGCAGAGCCCAGCCTGTCCGGCTGTCGCAGAGCTGCCCGCAGCCACCATCACCGACAACCCCGCGTACCGCAGCTTCAGCAGCTTGCTGCGCCCGCCCTCGGGTCCTGGAGAGCTGGACTCAGACCCACAGCTGGCCGAACGCCGGGAGGACGGGGACCCCAACGTCCTCTCTGCTCCCTGGGGCTCTGAGCCACCCGTTGCGCTCCAACCTGAGCCGGAAACCTGGGAGCAGGGCCTGCGGTGGAGCGTCCTCCAGCACAGGGCGGCCGCCCCCGCCTCGGCGCCCGGGGACTACCGGCAGTTCGCGCAGGCGGTGAGGCAGGGCTGTGCCCAGGGCGGCGAGGCGGGCGGCCCTTCCGGAGAAGCCGGGTACAAGGCCCTCTCTAGCCTGCTGGCCAGCGGTGCCGTGTGCCCAGCGCCACCTGGGGTGGAGGCCAGCAGTGGGGAGGGGGGCTACAGGCCCTTCCAGGGCCTCACTTCTGGCAGCCCTGGGGTGCCTGCCCCTGTCCCCCTGTTCACCTTTGGGCTGGACATGGGACCACCTCCCAGCCCTCAGAACTCGCTCCTCCCCAGCGGCTTCCCGGAGTGCCCGGGTCTGGAGCCAGTGGTGTGGGGAGAGGACAGCCAGAAGCGCCCGCTCGCCCTGGAGCAGGCCACGGCCCCCCTCGGGGACGACCTGGGCAGCTGCATCGTCTACTCGGCCCTCACCTGCCACCTGTGCGGCCACCTGAAGCAGTGTCACGGCCAGGAGGAGCGAGGTGAGGCCCACGGCGTGGCCCCCCGCTGCTGTGGCTGTCGCTGTGGAGGCAGCTCCGAGCCCCTGGGGCGCCCCCTGCCAGGCGGGGTTCTGCTGGAGGCCAGCCTCCCTCCGGCCTCCCTGGCACCCTTGGGTGTCTCAGAGGAGGGCAAGGCCCCCCTGTTCTTCCAGCCAGGCCCCAGCCATGCTCAGAGCTCAAGCCAGACCCCCCAAATGGTGGCCATGCTCTCCACGGGGCCCACAGGCATGAGTGCGTCCTAGGTGTGCGCCCCGTTGCTGTGTGTGCCTCGGCCCTGCCTGTGAAACACCCCCACCGCCCCCCGGAGGGGAGCCAGGCTGGCGTGGCTGAGACTCAGAGAAGCCCATGTGAAGTGAGGCTGTCAGACCCCGGGCCACAGAGGCTGGACCCTGTCCTCAACACTGACGGAGGGAGGTGTGGGCCGCGGGCCAGGAGGTGCGGGAGTGGGGAGCCACCTGCAGGCCCTGGAGGCTCCGGGCACCTGGGCTGTGAGCGAGCTGTTGGCCTCTTGATCAGTCCACGCTTCTCCGCGCACTGCCCCTGTCACGCCGCCCAAGGCCTGCTTGTCCACCTGGTCACTCGGTTGCCCATGTCTTGCCCGGCCCCGGGACTAGCTGCTGCCATGTCACTGGACTGGACGCTGAGCCTAGGAACTAACCCAGCAACGGGGACGCATTGGGAGCTTTGGGGGACGGATGGGAAATCCGGGTCCCGGAGGCGTGGTGATCAGCCCAGAGGTGCCATCCATTCAACAGCTCCATTAGGTGAACAGGAGCAGGATCTGGGCTGTGGAGGGCGCTTAGCCAAGCAGGGGTACCAGAAGCACACGAAAAACGGTGATTACCACGCAGTGACAGTTTGCTGGGGGCCCTGGTAGGTGTGGGATCCCCAGAATAAACACACCCAGCTACCTTGGGCCGGTCTGTGCCTCGCAGACACCGTGGCTGGCAGCCACAGAGACCAGAGGGAGAGCTTCGCCCTGAGATCCGGCTGAGCGGGGCGTTCCAGACGCCGACACCAGGCACCTTTTGCCTGCACGCTGGCCCGGACTGCACGCTGAGTAATGTGTGTGTGTGTGTTTGTGTGCGTCCCAAAGATTGTTGAAACCTAATATTTGTATTTGCTGAGGAGGCTGGAATGGGAGGGGGTGGAGTTTTATATAAGTAAAGGTTCTTTATCTCTTTTTTTACTTATGAAACAAGCCTACTGCCATTGTGAGTACTTTATCTTTATTAACTCATTGACTCCACACAGGGACTCAAGTGCAATGAGTTGATTTAGAGGGGATCCCAGGAAGCCCTGCTTGGGGAGCGGGCAGTGAGGCAGGGAAGGCAGGAGGCAGCAGAGGTGTGTTATCAAACAGCGCCAGCAACTGCTGCCTGATCCTGCCAGCAGCTTTGGGAAGCCATGCACCGTGTATGCCTGGAGGTGTCCCTGCAAAGTGGGGGTGAGGGGCTGGGGTGTTCGTCCACCCACTCCCCTCTGTCACTGGTGGAGGGCCACTGGCAGGGGCACTGGCAGCAGCTGGCACGCTTTGCCAAGGTACACAGCGAGTTGGTAGCAGGCCCATAGCTGACCCCAGGCATGTCTCACCATGGCTCTCTAGGTGATTGTTCTGGACATCCAGTAGGTGGTGTGGTGGAGCGGGCCTCAGCCGGGCAGGCAGGGGATCGTAAGCTCCTAGGTCTGTGTTACTCTGTGTCTTTTTCAAAATGAGAGGCTTGGCTGTTTAAGGTTCCTTCCCGCTCTGGCATTCTACAGAGTGCACTAGAGGTGACGGGGAGCTCACTACCTTACATGCAGCCTGATGTTTGTTAAAAGCGTCTCCTTGGTTCTTTGTTTTTTTAAAGTGTCTCCTTTGTGCTAAGCCCAAAACTCTCTCTTTAGCTGCTGGAGTCAAAACACACACACACACACACACACACATCAAAACACGTCAAAACACACACACACATGCACACACTCACGGTTTGCAGGTGGGGAAACTTAGCTCCAGAGAGGAAAAGGGATTTGCTAAGGTCAACAGTGAATGGCAGAGCCTGAACTAGGCCTCTGGACTTTTGCCTTCAGGAGCCTTCATAACAAAATATAATAATTAAAAAAAAGAGCCGTTTAGTGCCAAGCAACATGCCAAGTGCTGTAAACCCACTGTGTCAGCTCTAGTAGCAGGTCCAGCCATCCCAGTTTTACAGTTGAGGAAGCAGGCCCAGAGAGGTTGAGGTTTGGCCTAGGGTCACACAGTGAACGAGGAAGTCCTGGAGCCAGGTCTGGCTGCAGAGCTCCAGCCCCAGGGGATGCCATCTCATGTACAGCATGGCACCTATTCAAATGTCAGCTCTAGTCCACTGTGTCCGAGCATCAGAAAACCCAATTTAAAAATTAAGCAGCAAACGAGGAAATACATTTGTGTGAGTGGTGGAGGGGCAGTAGGGTTGGAGTGCAACAGAATGGAGGCAGGAGTCACTGTTCTCTCCTCAGGATCTTATAAGAAAGAGACCCAGGTTGTCAGCTGAGGCTGATGTGACAGAAATGACTGGGCTTGGGGAGGCTGGGATGGAGAATTAGATATTGAGACACCTCCCATCTCTTCCCTGCATTTAAACCCACCCTCCCAGGCCCAAGGAAGCTGGAGAAAGGCCACTGTTCTTGCTCCCCCAACCCCCTTCTCCAGCTTAGCACGGGAAGGAGGAAGCAGAGCAGAAAGCAGGTAGCAGGAAAGCCCACACCCCACCCATATTCACTGAGCACCTATTATGCCAGCTACTGTGCTGGGTGCTGAGGAAACAGTGAGATGAGGTTGCTTCTCTCCTGGATCTTACAGTCTGTTGGGGAGACAGACATGAAACAGACAAAAGGGAAAATTGCAAACACCAATGGGTGCTGTGAACCCTAAGAAAGACTAAGAAGGGCTCCTGGTGGCTAACTGGGCTCAAAAAAAAAACACCCCAAAAAACATGACACAGACCCTAGCAGCAATAGCCATGCACAGATCTCTCATGCAAACTGCACCTCAGGGAGAAGCCTGCACTGAACTGTCTGTCTGCACAGTGTTTCTGCCATCTGAGCCAGCCCTTATAAAGGAATTCTTGGAATCCTATTTCAACCAATAAGACTCAGGTTTTCCCTCATCCAATTGGAGCTGTGCAGCTCCAACCAACCAGAGTGGCTCTATCCTGACCAATCAGGACAGTGCCTTTTGGACCAATCAGATTGTGAGGATTTGGAGTCCTCATTTACATGTGGATAGACCAATCAGGGATCAAGGGCAGGGACTCCTGTCCATATAAACCAGCTACCCTCCGGCTCTGAGAAGGCACTTTTCCTTCCCACTGAAGACTGAGTCTCCCTGGCTCAGCTGAAACAGTGAAGCTGTCTCTCTGGAACAAAGGAGCATCAAGGAGCAGAGCATCTGGGAGCAGAGCTGTCGGCCAGAGAGGGGCCTGGCTCCAGGGCTGCCGTCCAGCCATGCTGTTCCACAGCCGTGCTGAACCATAACTGAGCTGTTTTACTCTGAAAAGTCTCCTTCTTCACCACACCCCAACTTGGGGATTCCTGTTGCTGTTAAATTGGTGCCGACAACCATCAGTTGACAGTGCTCTGAAGAAAACAGGGTCTGGGACGGGGGGAGCTAAAGGGAGGTCTTTAGGAGCCGTGCTCAATAGCACAGAAAGACCAGCCACAGCAGTGAACCAGGACAGTGGTGGGAGGAAGGCCAGCACAATGGGGGATGGAGTGAGGAATTTATATTTGGCTTAAATGAACATTAGCCCCACCCCCTGAGAAACATGGCCCCATAGACACCTGTCTCTCTTTAATCTCCCCAATCTCCCAAAAGGTAACCTGCCCACAAGCAGGAGCCAATGAGAGGACACGGAGCCCCTGGAAGTCCTCCAGTAGGGCTCCCTCTCACCTTGTGGAAGGGGAGGACTGAGGTTCCCCCTGACAGCAGCGCTGGTTAACATCCTCATTGCTGGTACTCTCGCCCAGGAATAAAGGCACTCCCACCAGGAGTGAGGTGATTTGCACAGAGGAGTGGCTGGCTGCCAGGGCCTTTCTTGGAATTTCCTTGACAAAATACTTTTTCAAATCCCCTTAAAATCTGGTCCTTGGCCTCCCAAGCCCTGGTCTCCAAATTAGGCAGGACACCCCGAGGCTCTTTGGGGCGTAAAGCCCTAGACCCCTTCACTGCTTTCTATGTCCCCTTTATCCTGCCTGCGCCTTTGTTTTCTCATTGGGAAACAGAAAGTGTTAGGGGCAGAAACGGAATAGTGGGGACTAGCTATAGTTATAAGAAATATCAACCATGCTCTGTTAGCCATGATTGTTCTGTTCTGACCAGAGAAAGCACATTCTGACCTGGCTGAGAGTTGTACGCCCTGGAACATGGGCGCTAACATCAGAATGCAGCCCATCCTGCTTTTCTGAGAACTGCCTGTCATGGAAAGATTAGACAGTCTAGTCCCAGAGGCGCCAAAGATACCTGTTCTCTTAGCCACCCCCGCCGCTGCCGTCCCACATTGCCTGTACCCTGGAACCACTGCAGCCTGCCACTGTCCCATGCCTGTCCTTCCTACTTGCCCACATCATCTTTGTCTCTCTACCCCAGTGGTTCTCAACCTTGGCTGCACATTAGAATCACCTGGGAATTTTTTTTAAAATCCTGATTTCTGGGCCTCATCCTCCGGAAATTCTGTTTCTTTGTTATGGGGTGGGGCCACAACATTAGTAACAAAGAAACAGAATTTCCGGAGGATGAGGCCCAAAAATCATTTTTTAAAAATTCCTCCGGGGTTATTCTAATGTGCAGCCGAGACTGGGACCCCCCCCCCAAAAAAAGTAGAAAGTGGATGGGGGTGGGTGCAGAGGCAGATTTTCTGTGGTGTGACCTGCTTGCTCTCCCCTCCCGGCCTCCAAGGGACTGAAATAAACGCTCCTACATGATTTCACCCCCATCCTCTGCTGAATTTGGCTCAGGTAGTGACAGGCAGCCCCGGACCCACTGGTTGTCCGGTTACAAAAGGATACTAAAACCTGGGAGTTTTCCTGGAGCTAGTCTCCACATAATCGTCTTCACCATGTCTTGGATTTAGTCCAGCCTGGCCGGGGCACAGGTGACAAGAATTAAAGGTACAAACAGCTTAGAAATCTAGAATTCTCAGCCCTGGCCACTGCTCAGGTTTCTTCAGAACTTCCCTGCGAGTCTCCTGGGGCTCCTGCTGCCGTTGGTTAAGCCTGACAGGGGAGCCCTAGCTTCTGCCCCCCCACCCCCATCCAAGCTCTCTGGCTTATGCCTGCCCTTCCTGGGTCAGGACTGCCCCACACCAGGCCTGGGATTCACTCCTTCATTCAAATATTACTCCCTGGCAGGCAATTGTTAAACCAAAAATACATTTCTCAAGTTATGAGCATGGATCAAAGTTTTATTTTAAAGTTACAGGAAGAAAATCAGAAAAAAAAAGAGAGAACTCAGGTTCCATGAACGACCTTAGGAAGCCGTCTTACAGCAAGACAGCGGAGTGTGGGGACAGCGCTGTCCAACAGACCTTTCTACGGTGGGAAAAGGTCCCACACAGAGGCCTCGCCACGTTGGGCGAGGAGGCATTGGGACTGTGGCTGTGTGGCTGAGGAAGTGATTTTTAAATGTATTGTATTAACCTGTACATTGAAACAGCCCCCTGTGGCTGGCGGGACCAGTACTGGACAGAGCAGGGCTGGTAGGTCATTTTAGTCCGCGTACAACTCAGCTGTCTCAGCCTGGAGGGGAGGCACTGACCCGGAGAGACGGAGGGAGAGAAGAGGGACAGCGACCGCACCAAATGGGACTCAGGAGGCACGAGGGCGGGGTCAGAGGATAGGGTGCGCCCAGCTCACGCCCTCCCCCGTCCCCCCCACCCCCCCACCCCAGCTGGAAGTAGGCGGTGGGTGTGGCCCCAGCCATGCTTGGCTGCGGAGTTTCCCAGCGCCCCCTGGAGGCGGGACCGGGGATGGCGCGGCCCAGGGGGGCTGGGCGTGGCCGGGGTGTGGGTAGCGGACCCGGAGGAAGGCCTTGGCTGACCCCAGGGGGCCTCCAGAGCCGTTGATTTCGGGGTCCCGTGCCTTCGCTCTGCACACTTAATTTTACAGGATTTTCCCTGGGTGGTGGGTGCATCTGCTCTTTTTCTTTAAACAAAGAACCTACTTGTTGCTTCCTTTCTGGTTACTGAAGTGGCACGTGCCAG